CCCCGGCCGCCCCCCAAGCCCCCCATCCATCCCTACCCCAGCACCTCCCCTCTTCCCGCCGCCCTCCTCCACCCCTACCCCACCCCACGTGTTGCCATCCCCTGCCCCTGCTCCTGCCCTCCATGTCCCTGCCCTGCATTTTCTCCTGCCCTGCCATTAGTCAGATTCGATACGACAGCCAGGATGATGACACAAGACTGCCAGTCGCGCAACCCCAAAGACCTTCGAAACCCTAAATCTTAATTAAAGCCTGCAACCTTGAACAAGCAGAAATGAAAATTCAGCGGATAGTAAATGAGTCTGGGGGGTCAGGTCCCTTCACGGTGATGCGATGCAGCGCAGCAATTACACTCTGGCATTCGGCTGTGTCCGTTCCGCCAAATCTCCGGAACAGAAGGCTTCATACCCTACCCGTAGCCTCAAAACACCCTCTAAAAGGGAGATGTACCTCAAGTATAGCCGATACATGTGCCTTGTACAGTAAATGTATGCTCGAGGGAAACCTGAAACCCTATTTTTGCAGGGTTTGGGGGTGAGAAAGTGCTCTACTGCAATCGTTAGACAACTAAGGGTTGCTCCACAATAGGTCCCTCCTGGCTGTCCTTTTCGAGTTCATCCCCTCCCCTGATACTAAACTCGCCCTAAGTTAGGGTTCAGGGTTTAGGGTTTAGGGTTTAGGGTTTAATTAGGGTATACTCTTCGCACATGGGGGACGAGATGGGGGACCCGTCTTGAAACAGCAAGTAGCAGCTGAGGGATGAGTGAGCAGCCTCGGCCAGGAGGGGCTTACTAGAGGTACTGCTTCGGGTTTGGGGTTTAGGGGTTTAGGGGTTAGGGTTTAGGGTAGGTTTGGGGTTTGGGGTTTAGGGTTTTGGGGTTGAGGGTGTATATCGGTTCTGGCTGACGAGTTAGGGTCAAGATTGATATGGCATCCAGTGATTCCTTTGGGCCCCCGGCCCAAAGGCATCAACATCTCGGCGACCCTAAACCCTAAAACCCCACGCCCTGTAAACCCTACACCCTGACTTGCACTGCCTCACAGATGCCGCTCGAGCAAAAGCCTCGTCCGATGGATTTCTGAATTCTGTGAGGCGCGCCTGATTTGCCAAGTTGTCGTTACGGCTTCCAAAAGGTTGCATACACGCAGGAGCCTGGACGGTCCTCCATACAAGAATCAGCCTACACCGTCAAGGCCTAGCCCTAAACCCTAAACCCTAAACCCTAAACCCTAAACCCTAAACCCTAAACCCTAAACCCTAAACCCTCGACTTTGAAGGGGCATGCCTTGCTCTGAAGCTCCTGAACACCTGAAAACAGCCCCACCCCCCAACTAAACCCGGATCCAAACGACGCCACCTGTGCCCACCAGTATACACCCTAAACCCGAAACTCCTAGGGCTCGTTCTTTTGGAGGGGGTGCAGGGGAGGGGAGGCGGGGGCAGGATACTCAGACAATCAGCCATAACACCCTAGTTATATGTTGGAGGGCGAATAGGAATACATGTGTGTGTAGGGTTCCTTGTAGTATAAGTACTGGTGGCTGTCCCTAAACCCTAAACCCTAAACCCTAAACCCTAAACCCTAAACCCTAAACCCTAAACCCTAAACCCTAAACCCTAAACCCTAAACCCTAATGGGGGAAAGCTGGTTGGATCTTGGTTGACCCATGTTGTGGGCCAAGCTGGTTTCTTGGCTTCAGTCGAGTCCTCATAGTTTGGCAACCAAGAGGGCCCAGGTTTAGGGTTTAGGGTTTAGGGTTTAGGGTTTGGGGTTTAGGGTTTAGGGTTTAGGGTTTAGGGCCAGAACCTAGTTGAAGATTTCGATCATCGACCATCATCAGAACCTTAAGCCCCAAAGCCTAATCTTCTAACTTCTTGTCGAGGACTCTTCCAAGCAAATGCAAGTCATGGCTGCATGTCCCTACGCATGTGTCAGGAAGGGACGTTTCACCAATTCTACAGATTGTTGCTCGTGCCTTCGGCCCCTGCAACTGTCCTGACCCTAAGGCGTCCTCACCCTAAAGCCGAAAATCTGAACCCGGTTTAGGGTTTAGGGTTTAGGGTTTAGGGTTTAGGGTTTAACGCCTAAACCCGGAATTCGATTTCCATTCCTAAGCCCTGACTCTCAGCCCGAGGCGCCCCCTTTCAACCCTCAAACCTTGACCCCCCAATGCAAAAGTCGGTTGGCTCATAGGGTTTAGGGTTTAGGTGTTAGGGTTTAGGGTTTTGGGGTTTAGGGTTTATATATCGGCTTTATGGGGTTCGCAGGGTTCATCGGGCTTACAGGCGTTTACAGGGTTCATAGGGCTTACAGGGTTTATGGGGTTTATTATGGGGTTTTGGGGTTTAGGGGGTTTAGGGTGGTTTCAGGGCTTACCTGTGACTTAGTCGGTCATACCTCCGAAATGTAGTGCCTGGTCGCTTGCATGGGCACCCTATATATAGAGGCTCCCCACATGACAGTGGAACCCCAAAAGAGACCCTAACCACTAAACCCTAAGCCCTAAACCCTAAACCTTAAACCCTAAACCCACAAACCCTAAACCCATGGTCAGTTCTCTAAATGGTACCTCTTTTGGGGTTACAATCCTAAGGTAGCCCTTACTATTTCGGGTACCCACAGAGGACCCTACTTGGAGGTTCATGGTACTTAGTAACCCAAATACAACCCTATTAGGGTACTTAAGGGGCTTATAAGTGGGTGAAAACTACACTTATCATTGGGTTATAAGTACCCTAAACCCTAAACCCCAAACTCTAAACCTCAAAATTGGGTTACTAAGTCTCCAAGTAATTCTGAGAACTGACCACATTGTAGAGTACAACATGACGCAGAAGACTTGTCAGCGCTAGTAAGCCCCGAAGAAAAGCCTAAGTCTAGACCCAAAACCCTAAACCCTAAACCCTAAACCCTAAACCCTAAACCCTAAACCCTAAACCCTAAACCCTAAACCCTAAACCCTAAACCCTAAACCCTAAGCCCCGGACTAGCAGGATGCCATGTTTGAACGTCGGCAGCATGCCGATTGCGGGCTTAACAGCTCTCCTTTTTTCGCGCGAGACTTCACCAGGTTGAGATCTAGAGCGGAACCCTGTGGTGGTGGAGGCATCCCATGTAGGGTTTAGGTTTAGAGGTTAGGGTTTAGGGTTCACTCTATGTAAACCTTCTAAGCCTTACAACCCTATGAAAACCGAACCCTGTTCACCCTATGTAAACCTTCTGAGCCTTAAAGCTCTATGAAACCCCCCCCCCCCCCCCCCACAACCCCAAGAAATGCACACGTTCAACCCTATAGGCCCCATGAACCTGGCTTCTAAAGTTTAGAGGGTGTAGGGTTCAGGTTTTAGTTCAGGACCCTTTTCCCCTTAATCTACTATGGTTAGACCTTGAGCTACGTTGCCCTGTGTTGCCCTTTGTGCCTTCTTCGGCGTAGGTACCCATGGTCCGATGTGACCCCGAAAATAGCATCCTTTTTGTATGCGTTTCTCGGGGACCCTTGATATCAGTCCCCATTGTGGAATTGTTTCCTGTTTTGGGGCTTCGGGTTTCGTCATGTGCATTTGTGAGTCAGCTCTTCCTGTACTGGCGAAGCTCGCTGTGATCTCCGGGCTTACCCTAAGTCCAAATCCTCCGTCGCGTCCGAGGAGCATCAAAGAGACCCAGCATCGAAAGCCATCCGGAGACTGTGCAACACTCACCGACGACATTGTGCGAGTTCCTTTAAGGCTAGTTTGAAGCTGGTTAGGCGTCGAAGCAGTTCCCAAACACCAAACCCCAAACCCTAAACCCTAACCCGAAAAGCTAAACCATGAACTGTACAGGGGACAAAAGCAAACAAGCTCGAGGACAGGGATTTCTCTCGTGTTGCTGCCTTGGAGCCCTGAGAGAGGCGACCCCTCCCCCGCAAAAGAATACAAGAATAGAATTAAAGACCTGAGAAATCATCATCATTAGCATCATCATCATCATCCTACTACTGCTGCTGCTGCTGCTGCTTCTTCTACTACTACTTCTACTACTACTTCTTCTCCTACTACTACTACTACTACTACTACCACTACTACCACTACTACCACTACTAAAACTATTAAGACTATTAAGACTACCAAAACTACTACTACAACAACCACCACCACAACAACAACAACAACAACAACAACAACAACAACAACAACAACAACAACAACAACAACAACAACAACAACAACAACTACTACTACTACTACTACTACTACTACTACTACTACTACTACTACTACTACTACTACTACTACTACTGCTACTACTACTACTACTACTACTACTACTACTACTACTGCTGCTGCTGCTGCTGCTACTACTACTACTACTACTACTACTACTACTACTACTATTACTACTACTACTGCAAGTACTACAAGTACTACTACTACGACGACGACCACGACCACGACCACTACTACCACCACCCACTACCACACCTGCCACCGACAGGCGTCCATGCTGGGATATCACGAGCTGATGTTCCCACTGGCGCAGACCCTACGGAACATCATCACCCACCAGGCCTCCTGTGCCGTGTGGTGCAGGCTTCTGAACCCGCATACCCGATTTAGGAGGGCTTCAAGGCCCAAGTATACCCATTTAGGTACATGGACCCTTAGGGTAAGGAGCAGCGTAGGAGCAGCGTAGGGTTTCAATGGTTGTAGGACTGGCTGAATTTGAGAACAAGTCCATGAGACACAGTCGCAAGCAGGCAGGCGGGCCCCCAAGCCTTAGTGCTCACATGGAGGTATGTTGACCACAATATATATGCATGTATTGAGTTTGGCAGGCATGGGTGTACATTGATCATTCAATGCTTCCCACATTCTGCCATTTGGGATCAAGCAATCTGAGATTGGCAGTTGAGCCAAAACGGCAGATTGAGCTTTTGCTTTTTGGGGGGTGTTGCCCCCCCATGTATGGCTTACGATGCACTGGGGTTTCGTGCGCGCGCTGTGCACACTGAGAGGACCCTCATGGCTGCAGCAGCCTATATGGACTGGAGTGCGGAGTTGCGCCGCCTCCATGACCTTTGTCAAGGCAGGGACGTCTTGCATCATTGGTGCCAGGCCTGTGAGATTCAGCATTTCCCGCCGCATTTTGACAGGATTCCTGAGTTGCCAGGAGTTCTGCCACCGGTCCGAGTCGCAGCTTGCACTGCTCAGGACTGTCGATGCTGCCAAGAAGGCCAGGACGGGTTCCAATTTCCATGGATTGGTGCTTACCCTCGGCAAGCCGCGCTTGTCCAGGCGGGTGTTGACCCGAGGCAGGGCTCAAGTTAAGTTTCCCATGAGCTGCTTTCTGAGGATGAGGTGTTGGAGGACCATGAGCGCTTGGCCACAGCTGAGGACCTTCGGCGAGTGTGGCGCCTTTGGCAGCAGGGCAATAGCGTTGGAGGGAGCCGGCCTACGAGCCTGTTGCCAGTCGTGACACAGAGATCTTGGATCCCGTGGCCAGAGCCAGCCGCACCTTGTGGATATGGCTCGGCAGTCTCGAGGCAGGCCTGCCGGTGCCGTGTGTGCCAAGAGTGCAGTCGGACATGCCCCAACTGTCATGCTGAGTAGGCTGGCCCTGGCGCTCTTGGGGGCAGGTTGCTTGCTGCCGGCCTCCAGCCCAGTGCAGTCTATGGAGGAGCTTGCAGGCCAGGAGGCATTGGCAGGCGCCGGGCCGGAGGCGACGGCGGCCCGTGTGGCCCGGTGGAGGGCAAGGGTCGGAGCGCAGGCCGAGGAGGACTTTGCCTTCGCGTTCTACAGTTTTGACAATGCCCTGCAGGTGGCGGGGCCGGAGGTGGCAGCTTCTTGGCAGGAAGTACGCGGTCGTCTGCGTGATGCCTCAGGGTTGGCTCTGGTCCATGCTGCGGCTGAGGCTGGTGCTCAAGTGAGTTCCCCTTCACGCCCTCCATTGCCCAGACGTTATAAGCCCGTCCCGCCAGGAGGGCGGATCAAGCAGCAGGCTGCGGTGCCCAAGGCCAAGGACGGCATCACTGAGGCTATGATCCGAGAGCTCACGGACCTCCTGGTGGACGCACACTGCCGCCGCCCGAAAGGGGGGTTGACCTCCGAAAGGGGCCTCTGTCCATCGTCTGGTGGTGACCCAGGCGAGTCACACGGAGCCGGTGACTTTCCGCAATGTGATTCGTACATTGAGGGGGCTCTATCATTTCCAGGTCCTTCGAGGGCGTCTTCAAGGTTTGGAGGAGGTCGAGCCGGTCGATGTTGATACTTTTCTCCATGAGGGCACGAAGGCGCCAAGCAGGAGCTTGCAGGCGCTTAGGTGGGCCAACAAGAATGCAACATTGCAGTGGCTCATTCCGGAGCTGCGATTGGCCAAGCAGCCCCAGGCTGGTAAGAAGCAGCAGGCTTTAGGGGTGGAGCCCCCGCTTTTATCCCATCTGGAGGAGAGGATCGTGGCGCTTTGCAGGGCAGGCGACGCCAGGTGGACGGCGTTGCTGGGGCAATGGCTAGTAGGAGCGGGTGTTCTCCGGTACAAGCACCTACACCTGTCCACTGTGCTGAAAATCACTGCCTCTACGGTCCATTGCTACTGCACCCGTGGCAAGCAGGCCAAGCTGAGGTCCGGCTTTTACTGGTGCGTACCTGCACGCTTTTTGAACCAGTTTTCCTGGTCCACTGCGTGGAGGGAGTTGTATGCATCACTTCCCGCCGCTAGACGCAAGAACTGCGGATTGGCCTTTGACTTCCGAGGCAACAGCTGGTCCCGGCTGGAGTCGGTCCGAGCCACTCAGGACGAATTCCGTCGCGTGCTGGAGGAGCCCCAGCTGTTGACGAGCTATTCCTGGCGTCGCTTGGGGACGACTGTTGGGCTCTTGGCCAACTTCACAGTGCCCCAGCTCGCAGCCTTGGGGGACTGGGGTGATCGTATCGAGGACAGTCAGGCAAAGATGCCTATCCACTATGCAGGTTCCCGGTACGGCCTCAGTAGGTATTGCAAACACGATGCGTATGCAGTGGCGTCCCATTTGCGTGAGCATTTGTCCTGGGAGGCGATCCCACCGTCGGCAGTTGAGCTGGCGTGTGCGGCGGCCAAGGTGGAGGCCGAGACCGCCGTGGAAAGGGATAGTGTCGTTGTCTGGAGTTCTCCGTGCAGAGTAATGTATGACCAGAGGAGGCTCAAGCTGACTGCGTCGGCCAGGAATCGTCTCCGCCAAGCTTCCCGCGGTATGGCGTATCAGGCTATGGTGGCGATGCCGCCAGCTATCGCTGGAAAGCGCTGTGGTTCAGCCCTGCGAGATGGCACCCCGCTGTGTCCTCAGTTTAATATGGGCACCTGCGTCAATGGTGACACGTGCGCAGTGGTTCACAGGTGCTCCGCGGCACAGAAGTCTGGGCGAATCTGCGGGGGGTATCACTCAGCTTTGGAATGCCGTAATCCAAAGACGGAACGCGTCCAGATCCAGCTTGTGCCAGCAGCCAAGCCCGGCCGAAAGCGACCCCGGCGGGAGGCTGAAGGGATGGCCCCGTCGAGGCGAGGTCAGGCACGGTCCTCTTGGGATCGGAATGCAGCTCCCGCAGCCGGGGAAGGTGCTCCCCATGATCTGGTCGAGGTCGTTGAGGTTGAGGACGAGCCCGTGCTTGAAGATGGCGAAGGGGTCGGACACGGGGAAGGCGCTCCTGGAGTGGCGTTGGCTTTGGCTGTGGAGCCAAATGGGCCGGCAGACCCCCCAGGTGTAGAAGTGGCGGCGGCAGCAGCGCCTTCCATATTTGACCAGGGCGCAGAGCCGTGCAACGACCTTCTGAGGTCTACAAGCTCAGGTCCGGCGGCAAGATCATCCTTTCTGGACTTCCACTCGAACAGTTCCGCCACCTTTACCCGGACACGGCCTTGCAGGTGTGCTGCCTCGGCCAAACGCCTGAGTCCCGCAAAGGTATTCGTTTGGCAGGCGCCCGCGTCTATGTTGTCGACTTGACCGAGCCGTCCGAGTCGGCCAAAAAGTGGACCGACCTGTTCACCGCCATTTGCCGGACGCTATGGGCCGGGGACGTGGTGGTGATCCATTGCATGGCTGGTCGGCATCGGGCTGCGTTGCTGACATGTTTGCAGTTGGCGCTGATGAGAGACCAAACTTTGGAGGCCGCAGAAGCGGATCTTCTTCGGCGCCGGTCTGTAGAGCTCAACCAGGTGCGCCGGTATGACGGTGGAAACTGGGCATGGGCCCAGCGTGCCTTGCAGAGCACTCGGTTGCCTGCGTGCTTCCCTGTGCCCAGTGGCTACACCGCATCGGACAGCTCAAACTTACATCTGCGCCTGCCCAATGGCATCACCTTGTGCAAGCATGCCCAGAGCCCGGAGAGGGCTGGGCCGGCTCCGCAATGCGCGCTTCACGGAGGACCGCAGGGAGGCAGTGGCGTGGGGACGCGCGCCCTGTGAGACCTGCTTTGCCCGTGCTTCTGCAAGGTGGTGGCCAGTCATCTGAATGCGGGAGTAGCCCCGGTTTTTCACCCAAGCCCACGCTGCGACCTTCCAATGTACATTTGGTCGCCTTGAAATCTAGGCTGTCGTCCACGTACTAGCATTTCCGACTTCCTTAAATCGTGGCCGTCTAGTTTCAGAGTCAGCAGCCAGCATTCGCATAAGGAAACAGTCGATCTGCATGTAAGGTGGGAGTTGTGCCCGCTCGGTGCTTCGCTGTTTGCAAGAGCATGCTGACCCTCCTTTCCTCCCCCCGACCCAAGATTAGACGGGAAAAACCTAATCTCGCAGCTTGGAGGCTGAGTCGGTGACCCTGGTGTTGCCCAGGGAGGTGCCGCTGTGTGACTTTGGCTGTTGAGCCCATGGCGTCTGTTGCCCTGGTGCCGAGGGCTGAACAAGACATCAAGGCCGCGTTGGGTGTCCTCGCCTTGAATTTTGACCTGAAGGACAAAGTTGTGGAGGAGCTGCTTAAGGTAGGAGTCCGCAACCTGGAGGAATTCCGGTTCTTATTCGAGGATGAGGCCAAGGTGGGTGCTTTCATAAGCAAGTTAAACTTGGGGGATGAGGCCACCATCCAGACAGCCAGGCTTCGAAGGGCTTGGACAGCTACGCGTGTCTACTTTTCGCAGGTGGAACAGGACAGGTCAAAAGTGGCCCTGGCTGACTTGGACTCTCTCCTTGAAGAATCCGAGCTTCGGGATGCGAAGCAGGCATTCTGGCGACGTTACCGCCTGAGGTTCCCGGCTGAAGTCCATCCTAGTGACGCAGTGGTTTCTAGGGTGTCACGTGAACTCTCCAAGCGTATGCTCTGCCTCTTCAATGTGTGGAAGGTGCGCTCCTTGCAGTTCCAGCTTGGCACCACCCAGAAGAGACGTAAGCTGGGCGACGGTTTGTTCACTGAGGAAGCTGAGACGGAGGAGGTCTACACCGCAGATTGCGAGACCTACCTCAGCAAGCTTCACACCCTCCTCATTGCGTACGCGCTGGCAGGGGTTCAGCCGATCCCAGGAGTGCCTGACGCATCTAAGGAGTTGACCTTGGGTGCCAACTCGACCGAGTTTGTCGAGGTCCCCTTTGACATCATGTTGCAGTACTATTTTCGGGCCAGGAAGGCCGCCTTGGCTTTGCCAATGGACAAGCGCTTGAGTTGGCTCCAGGCGCGGGATGCGGAGGAGCGCAGCGAGTGGGTCACCAAGTTTCGGGAGAGTACCCGACCGCTGGGCGCTATTGTCAAGGACCTCATGGAATCTAGAGATGCTCACTGGATTCCCCACCTGGTTCCGGAGGCCGTTAGGCCTGCGGCGGCTCCTGCTGCAGCGGCGGCTCCGCCTGCGCCGGCCAAGGTCTTGACAGAGTCCAAGTTCATTGCGGGCCAGGTGGTCAATGGCAAGAAAACAGCCCGTCAGATGAAGGATGGCACTCGGCTGGTGGACCTTATGTGCGGCCCGCGGATGCCGCTGGGCAAGGCGTTTCTCTATTGCGGGTGGCGTTGCCTGCCCGTTGACTGGGTGCTGGACCCCAGTCACGACTTATCCCAGCTGGAACGGCAGGAGCTCCTGCGTGAACAGCTCCAGTCGGCTACTTTCGTGGCCGCGGCCCTTGACTGCAGCACGAAGACAAGGTCTCGGGAGATTCCACGTGACTTCGGCGTTGCGGAGTGATCGCTATCCTGAGGGTCTCCCCGACTTGCCTCTGCAGGACCAGCTCCGTGTCTCGAAGGACAACCTGGCCTGTAGCTTCATCTTGACGGAGCTCGCGGCTCTTGCCTCCCGAGGAGGTGGGAGTGTCCGGGAGAATCCGGCTCGGAGTCTCCACTGGGAGTTGGCCCAGGAAAAGGAGATGATGTCCACCGGTGTGTGGACCGACACCTTTTACTCTGCTTGTTGCTTTATGGGGGCCAGGTGCAAAGCGCAGAGGTTGCGGCATAATATCGAGGAGATCGATCAGTGGCCGTCCCTGACCTGTCACCACACACACATGAAAGGGGAGTGGGACCCCTATGTCCAAGGAGGCCAGCGTGTCTACCCCTCGTCTGAAGAGGCGGAGTACACTGCTTCCCTTGCGTTCGGGATCGCTGTGTCTGTCTCCTGGTGGGCAGCTAGGCGGGGTTTCGGCAAGTTGCATGTCCCTCGTTTCCCTTTAGTTGAGGTGGCGGGCCGTCGGGAGCATTGGGTGGATATTGACCCGCGGGCCCTGCGAGAGTGGGCCATGGCCCCGACCGCTGTTTCCCTTGGGCTTCGCCCTCTTCATCCTGCGGAGCGGGCGCGCACGCCCGAGCGTGTCCGAGTGGCTGATGTGCTCTTGGAGGATAAGACCCTGCCTGCAGGAACAGTGTACGTTGGCTTAGGGCATCATAGCCACCGTCTCCCGGTCACCAAGTGGGCTTCTCCTTTCATCCCAGGCCGCAATTGCGACCCAGCTGTCTGGCTTCCCTTGTACGTTGGGCACATTATGCAGCGCTTGGCGGCTGACTTGCACGAGCTATCCGGCTGCGTGCTGGCCTGCGACTGTGAGCTTAGTGCCACGAGCGAAGGGGATGTGCTGGCTGGCTTGGTCTTCGAGTATGGTGGCAACCCTGCTCGCGCCAAGAGAGCGAAACAGGGCATTGCTCCGCGAGGGGTCCGCCAGGTTCTGGCAGCTGCGGCTGCTCTCCCTCCGACCGTTGGGGCGGTGATCCCCTACATGGCGCAGGAATCCGTGGTCTCCGCATTTTGCTCTCTCTACCCGCCTCATTTCTTTGAAGGCTTTCAGTTTCCTATGATCGAGGACCTCATCAACCAGCCGCCTTTCACCAATTTTCCGCAGTGGCTTCGGCATCAGGGTCTTCGTTGGGATGGGCCACTGGTGCCCATGTTGGCTTCTCCGCAGCAGCGACTTCTTGCACGCGCCGCAGAAGGCCAACAGGCTGGGGCGTTGTCTGGGAAGCCTCCGTTGCACCCTTTCGGCCTCTCCTGCGATGAGCATTTTGCCCGCAGTCTCGCACGGGCCGATTGCCCATTGCCCACTGAGCAGCCCCCTCTCATGGATCTGGACCTACAGTTCGCAGCGGATGCCATGGCACGGGATTTTGGCCATCTTCGTAAGGTTCGGCAGCGGGCCTTGCGAGCGATTCGTGAACTAAAGGATCGATGGACGCGGGTGTCGACCCGGCTCCGTCACTTGCAGCCTCCGGCCATTCGGGCGGCTACCAGCAAGCGTGACTTGGGCTTGTTGGGCTTGCTCGTCATCCTTATGTCCTGGGGGGATGTGGCGATGCCCTGTGGTTTCATCGAAGGCTTGCCAGCAGTTGGGTTGGCGCCGCCCTATGGAATCTTTCCGCAGCAGCCTGCCCTGCCGCTCACATTGAATGACGTTTTCTTCGATTGTCAAGCGCACAATGCCGAGATCCTGTCGTCCCTCAAGCCAGGGCCGCACGATGAGTTCTTGCTCAGTCAATCTGTGGCCGACGCTGAAGCGGGGTTTTGTACAGCTCCCATGACGTGGAACCAGCTCCAGAGGCACACGCAAGGGAAGCCTATCCGGTTGATCCCTCGTTGCGTCATTCGCCAGTCTTCAGGCAAACAGCGCATTATCGACAACGCGCATGCAGGTGGGCAGTCCGCCTTCAGTGCCGAGTCCAACAAGTTGGTGCTGTGCTCGGCTCTGCGCCCTGCACAGCATGCCTCTCTGGCCCTCTCCGCGCTCGGTGTCGACCAAGCGCGAAAAGTGCTGCAGGAAGACGGCCTAGAGGGCGGCGGGGAGGACTGGCCTAACGCGTACAGACATTGCCCGATGTCCGCAGATGAGTCGCGGGCGTGTGTGGTGTGCTGGCATCACCAGGAATGGGGGTGTCCGGCTTTTCAGCTATACACCGGGCTCCTCTTCGGCTTGCCCCTGGCGGTCACATCCTTCAACCGATACTCCCGATTTTGCGAGGCCTTGGGGCGGAGACTGCTTGTGCTGCTGGTTTCCATGTATTTCGACGATGCACACATCACAGACTGGGCGTCCAGCAAAGGCTCTGGACAGCAGGCCTTCCGCGAGCTCAATGCCCTTTTGGGGTCGCCGTTTGCGGATGATAAGCGGCAGGCGCCCACAGGCACTTTCTTGGGTTTGGACTTCGACTTCTCTACGGTGGCGGTGGAGGGGGCTGTAACCTTTTGGGTCCGGACAAGGCTCCAGGAGAAGGTTGAGGACATGTTGGCAACCGCGGAGCAGACCGGGGTGTTGCCCCCAGGGGTGGCCTCCAAGCACGGCACCCTCAACTTTCTTGAGATGGGCGTGTGTGGCCGTGTGGGCACTGGCGGACTCCAGGCCTTGAAGCTCCGCCAGTCCGAACCCACTTCTGCCCTTACTCCCGAGTTGCGCCAATCCATTGAGGCTATCCGGGCCGTGTTGAGCTTGCGCCCTAAACGGCAGGTGGAGGTCCTGCCGTCGCAGGCCCGTCGATTCGTGGTAGCTTCTGATGCTGCGGAAGATGTCCCAGGCGAAGGGACGGGAGGTTTCCTCTTGGTCTGGCGAAGTGGATCGCCCGCGCGAGAGGCCTTCGTAGCAGAGATCTCTCCAGCAGTCTACTCGTTGTTCACCCCAGGGGACCACAAGATTGCGCAACTCGAGCTCTCCATGATTCTGTATGCCGTCACGTCTCGGGCCTCGCGCTTTCGAGGCGCCCGCGGAATATGGTACATCGATAATGTCGCCGCCCTTATGTGCCTGATCAGAGGGCGTAGCGACTCACCCGATTTGGAGCGCATGGCGCACCTCATCCATGTAGCCCTTTTCGCGCTTCAAACGTGGATCTACTGGGAGTGGATCCCCAGTAAGTCCAACTGGGCGGATTCCATCAGCCGTCTTGGGTGGCAGGACCGATGGCATCGCCTCCAAGGATTTCAATGCTACTCTGCCCAGTTTCCGGCTTCACTCTGGCGCCTGCCTCTTCGACCCGTCACTCTTGTCTTCGAGTTTTTGTAGTGCTTTGGGGACTCAGTGCAGTGGGAGGTTATCCGGTGTTGACCGGATTCTGTTATCCGTCAGAGTCGGAGATGGTGTCGCCATCGACTGACGGACAGCAGATTCCTGCTGTTTTACCAAAGCACATCCTGAAGTGTTCAGGTTCTATGAGACAGGAGACCAGAGGGTTCGGCAGAACAAAAAAGAGTGGGCGCTGGGCAGAGCGATGTTTCAATCCTTGGGGATAGCATGTGAATGTAATGTTCTTTCAGATTTCTAATCCTAATTCAATCGGACCCACGGCACCCTCCTAACCACCCCCCTAACCCCCTCCTAACCCCCCTCCCCTCGCCCCAATTCAGGGGAGTTTTCTTCCATCATGCTGCGCTCGCAACCCTAAACTCCTAAACTCCCCAACTCTAAACCCTAAACCCTAAACCCTATAAACCCTAAACGGAGTTCGGCTTTGGATTTTAGGGATCCAATCTCCTCCCACCGCCGCTTTGCCACGGCAGAACCTCCAATTTCCTGTTTCACTCTTCGAGATCACGCTCCTCGAGGCGCGGGAGTTCAGGGTTTAGGGTTTAGGGTTGAGGGTTCAGGGTTCAGGGTTTAGGGTTTAGGATCTAGGGCTTAGGGTTTAGGGTTTAGGGTTTATCTAAGGGTAGTTTCATGGTCCCTCAATATGGTCCCGGAAGTATGGGCGCTGAATTTGTATAGGGTATATACGGGGTATATAAGGGGTCCCCTTTAAGGGCCCATACTAAGGGGCCATGAAATTGCCCTAAGAGTTTAGGGTTTAGGCTTTAGGGTTTAGGGCAAGGTGTGTTGTGCTGGGGCACTCTTGGCATTTCGGTGGAGTGTTTACTGCTGCCAGTAGTTTTGGGCATCACAACTCATGAAGATGTAGATGGCTGTGGAACCTTGAGCGAAAACCCAAATCCAAAGAAACGAGAACCCAAAACGCGGCAGTGAGGGTGTAGGGTTTCAGGCTTGAAACTCCTAAAGTACAAGGCCGGTGCATGCTCACAGCCCTACGCCCTCAGTTCGCCAGGGCGTTGGGTACTGGCTTGAAGGCCCCCCAGGTACCTTCTCGAAGCTCACACACAGAAGGTACACAGGCTGTTTTCTATACCAACATGGATTAAGTGAATTGAGGGTTGAGGGTTATGAGTTTTATAGGCTTCTGTACGCAGTTTCCAGCACAAAGCGGAGCAAGTGCTATCCCACAGTATAGCCACCCACAAGCCCATGAGCACCCTTTTAAGTTGGTTCGCCACCCCCACCCCCCCCCCCCCCCCCCCCCCCCCCCCCCCGAAACAGTCCAGGAACAGGTCGATGCCCCCTTGCCCCCGATTTTAATTGGTCCCTTAGGGTTGCCCAGTCTGGCAAAGATTTCTGGAAGCCGTGTCTGTCAGGGTTTAGGGTTTCGGGCTTCAGGAGATGGAAGGTCTTGGGAGGTTTAGGGCGTGGGGAGATATTGGTGGGGTGCAGGGTGGCCCCCAAACACAAAAGATGTTTGGCTTTCGCGAGTACTCCTCTGCACATGCGCTGGGCCCTGTTTGAAGTCTGAGGACATCTGTCAAAGAGAACACATACACGGAGTCCCAGGATCATGTTGCCCGAAACAGATGTTGATACTCGAAGCTCTTTTCAACTATGAACCCTAAACCCTAAGCCCTAAGCCCTAAGCCCTAAACCCTAAACCCTAAACGGATCAGGGTTTAGGGTTTTGGGTTTAGGGTTTAGGGTTAGGGTTTAAACAATCTGTGCCAAGTTCTTGGAGACATGCCGAGCTTCCCAAACACTAACCCTCAGGTTGTGACACCCAGAAAAACTAAGCCCTGAACCCCAAACCCTAAGCCCCAAACCCTGAACCCTAAACCCTAAACCCTAAACCCTAAACCCTAAACCCTAAACCCTAAACCCTAAACCCTAAACCCTAAACCCCAGTCACAATCGGTGCCAGTCAGGCTTCCTCCACCGCGCACCGAGCACCCCAACACGCGCAGGCCCAGCTTAGTTCCCTGCGCGGGGGCCCAGATTTGTGCAACGTGGCAGGATCACGGGACTAGCCCAAAGGGTCCTAAGTACCTGCATAGTAGAAAGTAGGGTTTCTACAATAGGAATTACTATTATGGTTTGGGTAAGTGACCCCCATATAGGTACTTAGGATTCTTTGGGTAGTACTCAAGTATGTAGGGACTATAAACGCTCTCTGTGTAAATATATAAGGGTTGTATAGGGGGATAAGATTAAGAGTCCCGTCTGGGAGGTCCCTCCTTATACCTCTGAATAGGAAGGGTTTTGAGGACTTGAAGATCACTCAAGGCAGGGCTTGAAGGCCTTTCAGGGTTTGTAGGGTTAGGAATTACACCTTTGCAACCCAAAACCCCTAAACCCTGAACCCCTAAACCCCTAAACCCCTAAACCCCTAAACACCAAAAAACAAAAAACCTAAACCCTAAGCCCCCCTGAACCCCAAAGCCTCCTGTGGTTCGGGGCCAGCCAAGAGGCGTGCCATGGACCTATGACAGACAGGGCTGGCAGAGTGAGGAGCTTGTTTAGGAATTAGAGGTTTTGGGTTTTGGGTTTGGGTTTTAAGGGGTTTAGGGTGCTTTTTGCTAAATACCCTTAGGAATTAGAGGTTTGGGGTTTTAGGGTTTAAGGTGTTTTTGCTACATTGCTTCTTGATCTGCAGTTTTGGAGACATAGCATCGCGGATGAGATCTGCTGACCCACGGGCCCCCCCGTCTGGAAAGCAAGGCTCCCTCCATCGACAGCTGCTTCTAAAGTTTTCAAACTACCCTAAACCCTAAACCCCAAACCCTAAACCCTAAACCCTAAACCCCAAACCCTAAACCCTAAACCTGCTGTGGCCATCCCGAAAACCTAGATACTTGAGGTTCGCGGCCCTTTCTCTAAATCACTCTCAGCGCACCCTGGGGCTTTCAGAGTGGTGCACCAGCCCCGGGCCCGGAACTTTAAGCCCTAAACCGAAATATTTAAACCCCAGGCTCGAAAAGCTCAAATGACCTTCAAGCCCTAAACCCCAAACCCGAAACCCTCAACGCCAAACCCTAAACCCTAAACCCCCAAGCCCAAACCATAGAGTTCCCAAGGCTTGGGAACCCAGATCTGCCCCCGCATCTGCGAGTAGCTTGCCGAAGCCTCGGCATGTGGAAACGAACTTCGGCCTTCGTGGGTTTAGGGTTCAGGGGCCCTAAACCCCTAAACCCTAAACCCTAAACCCTAAACCCTAAACCCTAAACCCTAAACCCTAAACCCTAAACCCACTAGGGTTTGGGTTTAGGATTTGGGATGCAGGGTCTGGGGTTGGGGTTCAGGGTCAGGCGTGGGGCTGCAGCTTCGGTTCTGCTGAGTTAGGAGTTAGGGTTTAGGGTTTAGGGTTTAGGGTTTAGGGTTTTGGGTTTAGGGTTTGGGGTTTGTTTTGGGTTTTTGGGTTTTGGGTTTTGGGTTTTGAATGGTTGGTTACTGGTCAGTCACAGTAGGCGTGCAATACACACCTCCTGGCCGGGGAAACGGACTGCTTTCACGAAGCATTCATGTTGAGACTCGGAGGAACCTTGGGTGCTCTTGGTCCCCGCTGAGCGCTGGGTTTCGGGTTTAGGGTTGAGGGTTCAGGGTTGAGGGTTGAGGGTTTAGGGTTTAGGGAAACCAGCGGCGATGCGCGCCGTGTGCTCCTACAGCTTGCCACCTGCTGCACCCACACAAGGGAGCGCCCATGACACAAACACACGCTACACCCCTGACCCGAAACCCTAAACCCTCAACCCTAAACCCTAAACCCTAAAACCCCAAACCTAAACCCTAAACCCTCAACCCTAAACCCTAAACCGTAAAACCCCAAACCCTAACCCTAAACCCCAAGCCCTCTAAACCCCAAACCCGGAGCCCATGAAGTGCTGAACACCTCAGAGACGTTTGAGGTGAGCAGCAAATTGCAGCCATCGAGCGCCAGGCGGCACGGGGAGCCGGCTTAGGGTTTAGGGTTTAGGGTTTAGGGTTTAGGGTTTAGGGTTTAGGGTTTAGGATTTAGGGTTCGAGCTAAACTCCTGAGATTCGAATCTGAGTTACTCTTGCGCCTGCGACGTCAGTTATATGCCGGAAGGCCCAGGCAAGTTGCAGAAGGTTCCAGGGTTTAGGGTTAGGGTTTTCGGTCTAGGACAAGGCACCCCAAACGTCCCGGAGCTTTAAGCTCTCTTTGAAGCCCTAAGCCCTATCTACCTACGGTAGGTTGTAACCCCAGAATGTAATAGTTGAAATATAAAGCCCAAACCCCAAACCCCAAACCCCAAACCCCAAACCCCAAACCCCAAACCCTAAACCCTAAACCCTAAACCCTAGGTACACCGAGTTAAAGCCCCGCAAGCCTGCTATAGCTGTATGATATCGACAGGGGTTGGGGGAAGCCTTGGGTGTGCGTGGGGCCGGGGCCCTTAAAGTTTTAGGGTTTGGGGTTTGGGGTTTAGGGTTTAGGGTTTAGGGTTTAGAGGCAGCTCTGCGAAGTAGAATTTAGGGTCGGCGCCCACCATGAAAGCAACAGTTCGGGTGTCAGATCCAGCAGCAAAGACTGTTCGCCAGAGAAGTGTTCCCAAGCGGAAGTCACCAAACCCTAGGGTTTAGTGCTTAGGGTTTAGGGTCTAGGCGACCGGCTACAGATCAAGAGCACGTTCATCAAACAAGCCCGTTTCGTAGATCTGATATATGGGGGGGCAGCACTGTCGTCTCAGACTCGCCAAGGCCTGCCATGGCACAAGTGCCAGCGTTTTTTCTTACTGTTGGTGAGCAGGGAATGAGGGAATTAGGGCCCTACACATACCCTGCAAGGGATTATACAGGGTACCTCATTCCCCTATTCCCTGCTAAGCAACAGTGAGTTTTGTTGCCAAGATCTTTCCTTGCCCCACCGTGACAGGAGAGAGCAATGTTGCCAGAACTCCTGGCCCTGCTTTTACTTCCATTCCAGCAGGCGAACACTGCGGGGAAGGTGCCACTGA